TTCATATTCTTACGTTTATTTACAAATAGACGGGTCACAACTAAAAAACAAATCGGTAGACTTATGTAATATTCGAGTACCATGGATATGAAAAATAACAAAGATACGGATGCGGTTGAAGTTCTATCTGAGAACACTTCACTGAGGTTGGCCGTAGTGGCGAGAAGGGTTGGCTTGCCCCTGGCTTGATGACTGACGTTGTTCCTCGCGGGCGCGAGCTTCATGCTCAAGACGCCCTCGCTCGATCTGCTCGAGGGCGTGAGCGGGGATTGGGTGGGGGAAAGCAGGAGCCACGGGCAGGAAGGGCGACTGAGGCTGGTAGCCATTGGCGTCGGCGACGAACTGAAGATTGAAGACCTGGCCATCTGGGAAGGTGAAGCTGGAACATATACATATATATAAATTTATATATATATATATTATATATATATATATATATATATATATATATATATATATATATACACATTTATATATATATATATTATATATATATATATATATAATATATATATATATTATATATATATATATACATATATATATATATATATATATATATAATAAATTTATATATATATGTATATATATATATATATATATATATATATTATATATATATATATATATATATATATATATAAGTATGTACAAATACAAATGTACTTATATGTATGCATGCTGGATATCCCTTCTGTATAATACTTTGAATTGTTAAGTATAAGCCTAAAGAATTTTTGTGCTAACCTCACGGTTCCCTGCTGGGCGCCACCTGGACCGCCAGACTCGTGCCTGACGATGCCATCCCCAGTCTCCACGTCAAAGCTGTAGGTGCCGTCAGCGGCAGGATGGATTCGCTCGTCGCGGATGATGGGGATCTGCTGGACGGGTGAGGATGTGTGTGGTGCAGGGGCGTCGTAGGAGAGGGACGGCCTCTCAGCCAGAGCCACAGCCACCAGCAAGGACAAGAACAGCTGGAACATAACATATCAATATATGTTAAATTCATAATTCTATATTACTAGTTCAAACACTCGAACTACAGTCAATACTGATAAACAAACTTACTGTTTTCATGTTGACAGTTTTGGTGCAAGTAGTGATGTTGATTCGCAGCCCTGACACCTTTATATACCCCGCAGAGAGATAATGTAGGTCGCGACAGGTCTTCAAGTTTACATTTTCCTTCTACTGTAGCAGTTCATACGATTTTTTTATTTAGTTATCTTATCACTACTTGTATGTATCTGTTTATATATACACATCATTTTTTTCAATGTGTGTATATATATACGAGTACTTGTGCTTTATGCAGCACATGCAAATAGGTACACACACACACACACACACACTCACACACATATACAGACGCACACACATACTCATAGATACGCACATTTCATATATACATATATATACATATATATTCATATATACACATGTATATGTAAATGTGTATATACATGATTTGTGTATACATACATATACATGTACACAGATACACAGTGTGTGTATGTGTGTGTTAGTGTATATATATGTATATATTTATATATATGTATGTATGCACACACACACACATACACACACGTATATATATATACACACACACAAACACACACGCATATATATGTACGCACACAGAAACAAACACACACGTAGACACATACGTACATGTGCTCATCTACATTGCAGGTGCCTTCCATTTCATCTATGATGGACACATTACATTTTGTAATTCTGATCACACACACACGCGCGCGCGCAGTTCCACAGCCATGTAATGTATCACAAACAATTGCATACGCTTACATGTGTGTATGACAACTAACAACAGTTGAATAAAGAATTAGAATTTGTAAATACTAATAACCTTAACACACAGTGTTAAGGGTTCGATTTCCCGCCGGAGACGTAGAAACAGAACTGATGACAATTTAAAAAAAATCATTATACTTGCAGCGCATTGGAATCTTGATATGCCAACTGTTGCCTTCAACTCATTTCAGATCTTCATATCAATTTGTTTTTAGTTTTCATCTTGTATTGTTTGAACCTTATTCTGCATAAAACACCTGACTGGGTAAACATAATCAGAATTGAAAATCATGAATATATATATTTTCGATTTTCCTTTTCTTTTGTTAAGCCTCATGCCACAAGGAAATTATTTTGCAGTACTCATGGCGAACAAATTATCCTTCGTTCTCTGGACAAATTCGTCTCAGGGAAACAAATACTAGAAAAAGTTTCGGTAAGCTGATTTATGAAACTGCTCAGAACAAAAACCTCATCTTACCTCATATTGATGCATTCGATTAACATTAATCTTGTTAATATGTGGATCACATGAGCTGATGGCGCTGATGCTTTCAGATCCTGAAGGGAGAGAGGAGTGGGAACAGAAAAAGTAGAAGAGCAGTTCAACTCATTCAAATTTCCGAAAGAACCATTGCTTTGTTTTTATTTTATATATCAATATATATATTTTAAGTTCTATATA